TAAAATGATTCCAAAAATTCTAAAGGCGACACATGGACTTTTATTCAAGAATGACGAGATTGCCCTCAATAAATGGGTTGGCTTCTCAGATTCTCCCATGCGCAGCTCACACCCCTGGAGACGAGGACTTTTATTCAATAACGACGAACGGAACCCCGTACATTCAAGGATTTGGACCGTAAAGTGGAGACGAGGACATAGCCCCACATCGGAGGTCCTCAAGGCTCAACGCAACGGTAGGAGGAGCCCCACTGCAGTGAAGCCACACCGCTACCACCATCACCGTGACCCACTAGGCCATGACACCACTTCCACCCTTGCAGTGCCGTACCTACCAAACCCTAGGCAGGAGACCAATGTCCAATTTCAAGCCCATGAGCAGGAGACCCAGAACTTGGTAGCTACCATGGCAAGCCTTAAGAAAGAGGCCCAGTCCAACGCAGCAGCTGCTACCAGCCAAGCCGCTCAACGGGCCCAAGCCACTTAGCTAACAGGCCAAGATGTGGCAACCCAAAAGCTATGAGGGACAATGGCCATGCAAGACCAAGACAAGCAGGCGCTGGTCCAAAGCACCCCATGACCCATTCCAACGACCTGGCCCGCGACCCAATCCATTCCAAGGTCACCTCCAGTGATCCAGATTCTGACCACATGTCCCGCAATAGATTCAAGGTTACCCACACCCCATTTTTCTGTAAGAATGTCCCATTTGGGCTCAAGCTTTGTACTTGCAGTCCACTATACTTCCACCACACTTGGAGATGCCCATTATCCAGACTTTTCCAATCCAAATGACGAGTACCACCTGCCCTAGCAGGTCGCCAATTTGACGAACACCCTCGCGTAGCAGACCACCTTGGTGAACCAACTCCTCTAGCGCATAAAGATGTAGTGCACCCCATAAGGTGTCTTGAAGCAGGACAAGGGCGGAAGAATGTGCTCATTCCAATAGCGTCCAGGCAAAAAGCCGCTCAGCCCACCACGAACCGTATGTTCAAGTAATGTGCACTCTCGTTTGGGCCCTTGGGGAAACATCTTCTCATGCCTAAATGCATAAAGAAGCGTTCATTCCTGACTCGGTTCATGAGTTGGTGTGCATTTGAGGTTGAGTCCATACTCCAACGAGTACTCAGGATAATCCAGGTGAAACGTCCACATAAGGCTAGGCCCACAAGGAGATCCTCATACGAGGCAACGAAGTAGGCAGCTGCATGACGCCCAGAGGAAAGCATAAGAGTAGTCCAGCTCAAGTTCCACTGGAGGCTTTCGCCAAGCGCGACGCTGAGTAGCACAACATGAACCACGTGCACCGCAATAGCAGCATAGACGAGCATGACATGCCAAAGAGCAACATAGACCAGTAGGTCAACACCTAGGGCAGCAGGAGGCCCCGCTACCCTACCAGGCGCAAAATCTAGGAAGAAATCTTTCGTCCCAGCAGTAGCAACTAAAGTACAAAAGGATGACTCTACCTTTGCTAAATAGCAATTACAGCAAGCCGGTTAAGAAGATGGTGTAAAGATCGACAATGCCCTGGAAGATGAATCAGGATGGGAACCCGAAGAAGACGCCAAACACATCTTCCTTGACCCTAAGCAGCAGTCAGACCACGCCAAATGCACATTCAAATAAGATCTAAGCGATCCTGGATATGAAGTCCCCCACCACTCTGAAGGATATCCAAGGTCTGACCTGACATCAACTCCCCTACTATCCAACTGGAAGGCAGCGGAGGATCTATGCATCTATATGGCAGTATTTGAAGTAGCAATAAGCTCTACCCTCATATGAGAAGAGCTAGGGGCCCAACCACATGTATTCCACAGTGCAAAACCTCTCCTCGATACCAAAGTCAGACACCCGAAATCAAAACTTTGATTTTGATGCTAGTTGTTGCAATCCGGAAGCTCAAGCCGTACCTTCAGACGTACCATGTCATCATCATGACACGATATTCAGCACAGCCCAGAAGCACAACGTTAAAGGCATGAAAACTGACGAACATTCCGACGAGCGCAGCAACTCAGCCCAGAAACACCTCAGAGGCAACCGAGCACACCGTAGCAGGGATCGGGAGCAAGCTTAGTTCTCACTACCCCGAACGGTTCAATGCTCGAGCAGGTGATCACTCTAAGCTTCAAGGCGTCAAACAATGAAGTAGAGTATGAAGCCCTTTTAACTAGTCTCTGATTGGAGAAAGACCTAGCTGTGAAAAAGCTCGCGATCTATTTCGATTCCCAGCTAATCACCAACCAAACCTCAGGGGAGTACGCAACAAAGCATCCAAGGATGGCCCGATACCTTAAGAAGGTACGAGAGTTGCTAGTGATGTTCGAGGCGTACACACTCACTCAGGTTCCACGAGCAGAAAATGCCCACGCAGACGCATTAGTAAGCCTAGGTTCTACGCTAGACCATCAGCTAAGGCGCTCCATCCCAATCGAGTACTTGGAAAAGCCAAGCATAGATGAGGAACCAGCAGTCAAGGTGGCACAGATCAGAACAACCCTGAGTTGGCGGATATCTCCACCTCAGAAGATTTAGCAAAAATTCTGTCTTAAATACATAAACTCCCATTTGTGCAACGTATGGGGTTTTCAATGCAACTTGTGGAAGCGTGGTATCTGCTTGCTGCAGAATATCAACCAAGAAGAGTAAAACTTAAGTCTAATATAAATTTTCACAAAAATTAAATCATGTACATCCAAGTACAAAGTAAATATTCATACACCGGGAGAACCACAGAATTTGGAAATATAAATATCATGTCATCAGTTCATGATGTTATTCTCATAGCTATATTTAAAGTTTACTTCCAAATCAACTTACTTAATGATATCATTCGAAGGTCATTCCGATGCCCACAATTTGTCTACAAAAAGGATGAAATGTAACAAAGTAGTAACTAGGCCTTATCAATATAAGAGATTGGATGTTAGTAGTAACTATCCTTACTTTTCCTTCCCCCTAATAATACTGTAATGAGCACACGATAACAGGATGCAAAAGTGATTTTCAAGGAGGGTGGAAAACAATTCAAAGAAAAAATATTCTGATAGCAGAAAAACTGCTGGTTCTTGCTCACCATTGCTTTTAGATCAGCTCCCCTTGGTTTTTCAGCAAACTGGATTACTTTACCTGTGTTGTCAATCTTCACCAATCCAAAATCAGAAGCGCGGCTGCAAAAAATGCATTCAACTTTAGTCAGAACTTAAGAGAGAGATTAAGAACTTGAAGGAATGAGGACTGAGTCAGAACTCATGATAAATTCTTAGCTTAAGAAAATAGAGTGTGTAGAAGGAAACTACTAAAATATTGATGTTCGGATAGTCTTCAATTTGTACGACGGTCTAGGAGTATTACTCTTCACTTGTAAGTGAGAAGTCTTAGGTTTGATTCTCGTCAAAAGAGAATTTGAACCACATTATTACTAGCTCATTATGAGGCTAAGTCCAGCCCTTCCCCTTATCGTTTGTTTTTTTTCAAAAAAAAAAAAAAAAAAAAAAACCAGCTCTGCAAATGAGGAATGTGTTTGGTGACAAATATTTGGGGGTCTCCTATTGATATGAGTAATTGCTATTTGGTTTATGATGGTGGTTAAATTTCTTGTTGCAGAAGACAAATATATCACCTCAGGAAGGAGTTGGTGCCTGTCCTTGGTGGCCTGGTGGTTTTGTGAACGTCGCATTACCCACTAGGTCAAGGGTTCGATAGGCATATACAGAAAGCAGAAGCATGCAGCATGCAGAGATCATAACAATATTATGAGGTATTCTAAAATACCTCTGTTTTAATTTTTTTTAGCTCTCCTCCTCCATTCATGTATACCTTAAATATATTGTGCGGTTGGTCTAAACTGTCTAAACCGATACATTTGTCGAGAATGAATCTCACATTGATGGAGTTTGGCTATTTCCATTTAGTTTTTGTAAAGATAACCATTGCATGTTTTTGTTAATATCTGTACATATATATATATATATATGTATGTATATATGTGTGTGTGTGCGTGTTGAATCATTTCTATACAAAGAAGTGATGGAGGGGGTGAGTATGTTAGTATACAGTTTCTTGAGAGCAAAGAGAATCTACATCAAAGATCATGTTCATACACACACCAGAGCAGAATGACATTGCTAAAAGAAAACATCCTCACTTATTGGAAACTGCAAATAACCCTTTTGACAACAGCTTATCTACCTAAAATCTTTGTGGTTCCATGCCTTCTCCACTGCCAACTTCCTCCTCAACTCCTTATGTCCATGCAAGATCCTTTTTCTATCAGTGTAAGATTTATTCTCAATAACATTGATATACAATATAATATGGTTGTATTAGAAAAGAGAAAAAAATAGTTGAACTTGAGAAAGGAAACTTTCGGTCTATTGTAGCATATGATATGTTTGTGATAGACATAAGATTTATCACATCTCAAGTTCAAATGGCCAAATATCAAAAAGTTTAGAAGTTGACGGATTCCTAATCTGATTCCTTACGTGATATTTAGGTATTTAGGTATTTCTATCTAGACTCAAGCGGATAGAAGATATTGAAACAAAATTCACAGGCTACACTCTTCCTCATCTCTGGGTGCCTAGGTATCCACCTTAAGCCTTTCCTCATTTGAACCTCTCCCTAGCTAAATATATTAAATGAGGATGTAGTTGTTGCCTGCACTCTGTGGCCTGGTGGTTTTGTGAACCTCACATTCCACTAGGTCCTGGTTTCGACAGGCATGCTGAGAAAAGCAGACTGTAGTACTAATAGTGGCAAGCAAATTGAAACAGAAATGAGGTATTCTAAAATACCTCCGTTTTTAAAACCTCTATTTTTTTCCCTCTGGTTCTTGTTGGCTCTCTTCTCCATTGAAATAGCTGCCGAGTCGCTTCTCTTCGAACCAACGTCATTGGAAACAAACGTCCACCCGCACGACGACACGTGCAGACGGATAGTTTCTTGGACAGAAATAAAATGCCTTTTCTTTTTCTAAGATACAACCATATTTCAAACTCACTGCAATTATTCATACGCATAAATCAAATATTGATACAGAAGTTCATAGGTTCTTAGGGATATATCAGCTCCACGAAAGATAAAAGAAGCCGGCGATCAGCTCTCTTAGCTTATTTTTGTACATCTCGCGACTCTTAAGCTTATAAAATCCATTTTCACGAGTTCTGAAGGATTTTCCTAGTTTAAACACAGTAACAAAGGTGGTACTTGTCTATTGTAAAAAGTCCTGCAGAAGCTGTTTGCTCATGCCAAATGTGCACACGACCGCAAGAGTCTTTTCTCGTTACCCTTTTTCAACTGTCCTCCGAAAGTAGTTGAGATGGTAATACCATTATATAATCATGCCGTCTTCTATTGTTGCCTTCTCCAGAATAATTGTGATCCCCTCGCGAATGTAAAATCCGTCTTCTGGCCTGTCTGCTTCTTGAACCCCCTACACGACCAGCGAATTTAGATGGACCGTAAGATTAAACGTAAAAGTAATATATTTTTCTTCAATGAAAATTTTTTCCCATGTAAAATTTTATAAACGTAGACCAGAAATAAGACTAGATCATGGGAAGCTATGATTACTTCTTTGTTCACGATCATAACGTCCTTCCCTATCTTTGCATTCTTATCGATTATGCAATTCCTTCAAGGAAGAATCATAAAGACATGATTAGAGAACTCGGAATAATATATTTCATCTAAATTCAATAACCGTTTCTCAAATAATGAGTCTAGTTACCTAATCTTTGTATTGCTTCCAATGCCAATTGGGACCTCCCCGTCTGCAAGCAGAGATGCGATTTCAGATTCCGTTTGGTAATTGTCAGCACCCATCATTATGGCATCCTGCAAACAGAGATAACAACTTAGTAAACTAAGTCAACTGGGAAAAGGTAAGCAAATAATAAAAGGGAATTATTATTGGCACTCCAAACTTTCTATAATTAGAAAGAAAAATACACTTGTGAGCAGTGTACAATGAGATTTTTGGAGTGCTAATAACAATTCCCTAATAAAATGGTCAAATCTTCAAATTTTCTGTTCCAAAACTATGATAACTAACCTTGAGTTCGACACCATAATTCAACCGTGAACGTTCACCCACAATTGAATGTTGGACACTACATTCTTGCAAGAAACATCCATGTGAGATTATTGCATCCACAATCTGCAAAAAAAAAAAAAAACAACTAATGCATGAGAAGAGACACCTCATTTAAGTTGCCAATACGAGCCTAAGTCTGTTAGCATACCCGGCACTTGTCAATCTTTGTTGGTGGTAAGAATCGAGGAGAGGTAAAGATTGGTGTCTTTGGGTCATAAAACTCAAACTTCGGAATCTGCAAAATAGATAACGCAATTTTCCCAGGCGTTAATCACACATCAGGGATAGAAAATGCTTTTGCTCTTGGCTTCACAGAATTAAGATTAAGATATTACTTAAGAACTCCACCGTTATAGAGATTCATATCTTCTCCATGTTCACATGTTATGATGTGCAATAACAGGGTGCCCGGGAAAACAATGTGCAAAGGCAAATATGCAGTTACTACACAAGTTCAATGAACTCAAGGAATAGGAACCAAAGAGAGAAGGAATAAAAAATGTTGCCCCTTAGGAAACAATGAAATCTACCTCTTCGGTGAGGGCCAAGTTAGCATCATAGAAAGACTTTATAGTTCCAATGTCCTCCCAGTAGTCTCTGAACATATATGCCTGTAAAAGAAAAGGGCAACTTACAGTCATGTTTTCTTCGAAACTCAATATCTGAGTATAAACAGATCAATAGGCATGCAGTATATACAGATCAATAGGCTTGCAGAAAATACGAAAATCTTGAATTGTTCATGCAAAAGGCACAAATTTTATGATCTTTCAGTTGAGGCTTTCACTCTTTTGTTTTCTTAAATCCTAAAATGGGGGTAGTCATGCCTTGATTGAGATGGAGAATCTCATTTGCAGTCCCACAGATGACGACACATCAACTGTAATTTTTATCTTACCTGGACCTTGTGCTCTCTCACTGCTGCAGGAATGATTTCAGATCCAAAGTCATTGGATGTTGGATATCTCCACCTCAGAAGATTTAGCAAAATTTCTGTCTTAAATACATAAACTCCCATTGATGCAACATAGGGGGTTTTCAATGCATCTTGTGGTGACAATCCCAGAAGCGTGGTATCTGCTTGCTGCAGAATATCAACCAAGAAGAGTAAAAACTTATGTCTAATATAAATGTTCACAAAAATTAAATCATGTACATCCAAGTACAAAGTAAATATTCCAACACCGGGAGAACCAAAGAATAATTCGGAAATATAAATATCATGTCATCAGTTCATGATGTTATTCTCATAGCTATATTTAAAGTTTACTTCCAAATCAACTTACTTAATGAAATCATTCGAAGGCCATTCCGATGCCCTCAATTTGACTTACAAAAAGGATGAAACGGAACAAAGTAGTAACTAGGCGTTATCAGCATAAGAGATTGGATGTTAGTAGTAACTAATCTTATTTTCCTTCCTCCTACTAATACTATAATGAGCACACGATAACAGGATGCAAAAGTGATTTTCAAAGAGGGTGGAAAACAATTCAAAGAAAAAATATTCTGATAGCAGAAAAACAGCTGGTTCTTGCTCACCATTGCTTTTAGATCAGCTCCCCTTGGTTTTTCAGCAAACTGGATTACTTTACCTCTGCTATCGATCTTCACCAACCCATAATCAGACGCGCGGCTGGAAAAAATGCATTCAACATTAGTCAAGAGATTAAGAAATTAGAAGAATGAGGATTTAGTCACAACTCAAGATAATTTCTTAGCTTAAGAAAATAGAGTGTGTACAAAGAAACTACTAAAATATTGACGTTCGGATAGTCTTCAATTTGTAATTGTTAAAGTATATACAATAAAGCTGGCCGACACCAGCTTAAACTTGTAAACAGTTACAACCCAGGAAAATGTTTTACATGATACAAAACCCAGATCCTGAGATCAAATCCCAACCCTGTAACCACCCAATTTATGAACTCTACATATGGGATCTTTAGAGGTGGAAAAAGTCCTACACGTGAGAGACGTGTTAGAATATCAAACAACAGTCGACTCACATCCTAGGAGCTTAAGCTTTTGGGAATGAGCTAAACCAACCAACTTTTTCAACAACCCACAAAAAAAACATGAATAATAATTTTTGCAGTCCTATTAAGACAAAAAGGAGAAAAGAACAGACCTGCCACCCACTGCTGTACAAGAAATTGTAATATCGGAATTTCTATCAACGTGACTCTGCATATCAGAGAAAATGTGTAAGCAAAATTCAACAACAATAACAAGTCCTTTGTGAAGGGAAATGATTATACCTGCACAAAGTCCATATAATCCATTCGGTAAAGATGATCGCCAGACAAAATCACTATATTCTCAACATCCCTGTTCTTGGCATCCTACAAGAACCAATGAAATGCATTGTACCCGATATCAAGCTATGTGCAAAATCAAGATAACAACAGACAGATGCATTACTACTGCCTATTCCGCCCCTCCTCTAATTTTAGAACAATACCATAGACGGAAACTTCTTTACCCACCTCAAATACCCATGTAAATTGCCTCACAGCATCTGCTGTTCCTTGGAACCAATTCATTCCTGCTTCCCCCTGCGTTTGAGTGGCTGCTAGCACCTGCTCTTGAAGTCACTAAAGAATCAAGGAACTTGAAAAAGAAATATTGAGAAGTGCACATTCAACTGAATTTACTTTTTTTACATCTCAATCAAGTGAGACACGAAATCCATTATTCTTTTCTTTTTATATAATGAGAACCACTTCATTTAACCAGAAAACAATAAGAAGCTTCCCTAATGGACTAATTTGTCAATTTGAAAGTTGATTTTTGCAATCTGTTTACATATAATATAATCATCAGCCTACAACGAAATTTATTCTCGAATTATATAGTTTTGAACCACAAATGCCTTTAAGGATTCATTACCTCTACAAATCTATCTCCAAAGTTGATACCATTTCCAAAATAGGTGCGAGCAATGTGACGATTGAGAGAAGCAGAATTAAACTGCGTCAGTACAAATATCTTGTTTATATTGCTGTTGATGCAATTGCTCATTGGAATGTCTATAAGCCGGTAGCATCCTCCAACTGGGACCTGCAATCATACCAAATCAAAGCATGGTAAAACATCAAACAAAATAAATTCACAAGCTTGAACAAATTATGACTGTGTTCGGTCAATGACTAGTTTGAAGAATCATAAACCAAATTTGTCTCATAAATCAGAAGGATTCCAATATACACAAATACATATTTGATCTTACCGCGGGTGTCGCTGATCTTTTGGTAAGAGGAAAGAGCTGTGTCCCTGCACCGCCTCCTAATATAATTGAAGCTACATTTTTCGGGTCTACTCTCCGTCTAAACATTGGCATTTGCAGAGTCTGAGACTAAACCCCAGATTAGGACAACATTTTACATAATTCATCAAACAAATAAAGTAAACAAAGTAACAAGCTTTACAATTAACATAGGCAAATGGTAGTGATCATACAAACTACACGGCTTAATAATCATTTAAAAAATTATCAAATGGGCAATCGATTGTAATCGAAAGGATTAACTTACGACAGCCTCGGTGTCGTTTGATGTAAGAACAGCAAGAATAGCTCCAGGTTTCACCTTCCTCTTGTCAGTTCTCAACTGATTGGCCCAAAGCCTGTGATTAGAACTCCCTCTAACACTCTCCCCCAAAAACCCAGGATCACCATTGCAGAAACCACTTGCGTTTCCCAAATGGGTATTGGGTTTCAAAGCCACACAGCAAGAATCCATTCCCGTTACCAACTCTGATAGAATACTAATCGATCAGAAATCGTGGCACTCAAAAGGCATTTAAACCAAAATCCCAGTAAAGAGATGTGATCTAATTACCAAAGTAAAGTAAAGATCACACAAGGATTATAATACTCAAAGCCATAACTAGAATATTAATATCAAACCATAGAAAACAAAACAGAGTTTCTGAATGAAAAAAGGTGAATCTAAAGGAAGTTGGAAATGGATCCTGAGCAAAGTGAAGATACTCAGATCAAAACTACTCCTCAAAAGTAGAATCTCAAGGAGCCAGGAGTGCAACAACCAAATATTTTCACAGTCAAGAGAGTGAGAGTGAAGATAGGTGGTATTGTGAGCTGTATAATCTGCAAAAATTTAAAATTTAGGGAGAACCTTAGAAGTGATCGGTTGAGTTGAGACAAGTGAAAGTCAGAGTGGAGTGAAATACGTGAATGATTTTGAAAGAAAGTGAATAGCTTTATTGGCCTCACGAGAAAACTAGCAAAGCCAGTTTTTATAGTTAGGATTTGGACCCTAGGCATCCCTCTTATTGTAAAGTACCGTTCATTGAAGATGTGCGGTTTGAAGTTATTTTAAATTTTTTATTTAAAATTAAGGGAACTTTAACGAAAAGCATTCGGTACTGTTCATTTTAACGAAAAATCACATTTTTACACTAAAAAGTCAATCTTGGTACTATTCACTTTACCATTTATTTTGTCCTTATCATTAAAACTCAAAGTTTTCAAGCCATTTTCATTAGTTTTCCTTAAAATTAAAGATAAGCGATTTGTAACGAAAATTAATTGTATAATGTACGATAAACGGATAAAATGTGAAGATGTTATTTATATAGTTTCACCATGGATTGAGTTTCATGGTTTGAGAACCAATTTCCGAAAAAGAGTTGAAGGACGAAAGTGAGCAAATTTAAACAGTGGAGGGGGTAAATATGAAATCAATCCCAACTCATGTTTAAAGTCGTAGGTATGTATTTGATAAGAAAATGATAACAGAAATCAAACAAAAATGTTAATCAAGTGACATTTGTTTAATCATTAGGCATTTTCAACTGATGTGATTAAACTCTCCCAATTGACGGTTCATATTTGCGGCCACTTGATATGCTAATCAAACTGATTAGTGAGTGGAATAATTTGTCACAAACAATGTTTGTCCTATTGTTCCATATCATTAGAAAAAACCCTTTCCAACTTCCACGATTGGTGCTACTGGCATATTGCTGGAAAATGCCATTTCTTATAGTAAACAAAGTGTATATTGCTGACGTCTTAGTACTACGATTTAGTTATATTTCTGTTCACTTATTAGTAAAAAGTTTTAAGTTCGATTTTCGCTAAACGCAAGTTTGAACCACATTATTACTAGCTGATTATAAGTTAAGCTCATCATTTCTCTATTAGTGTAGATAATATTGTTTGTTAAAAAAAATACAATCATCTTATAAGTGCACTTAAAATGCTATCGTTTTACTTTTTAATAATTAAATTTCCTTTTTCTTTGTTTCTTATGCGAAATCTTAAATCTAGGAGTTTGTTTATCTCATCTTACTTGAGATTCGGTGTACTTTTTCAACAATATGATGGAATTTCATCGTGTTTCCCTTCATTCAATATAGGTTGAACTGTCAATTTTATTTCTGAATTATCACTTAAATGAAAATTAGGTCCTTAAATTATTTTTTTTTCAGAAAAATCAGCCCTTGAATTGTAAAAATCTGCCAATTACATCATTTATATTATATTCGAAGCTACAATATTCAATTTTTCATCAATTTAAGTCACGTTATTTGCATGTGATACAGATTGGATGGTAGATTGATAATTTTTCATAAAGAAATAGTGTATGGAGTTAACTTTAGAGGGTAAATTAGACGTTAGATTCGCAACTTATATGAAATCTTAAGGGCTTATAGGCAGGAAAATGACGATATTACACTCTAAAGTGTGTCAATTGACTTATGTTAACAAAAAATTGGATATAATAGCTTTGAATATAATTGTAGGGATGAAATTAGCAATTTTTAATGAATTTAGGGACTTATTTTACCGAAAAAAATAATTCAGAGATCTAATTTTCACTGAGGTGATAGTTCAGGAACTAAATCGGCACTTCACCCTTCAATATATAACATGGGTAGTGATTGTTGGGGTTGTCTAAATTGAAACAAATCATGAATGTAGATAGGTGAAATTTCACGTTGAAAATAACTCAACAACAATCTACAACATAAAAGTAGTTGCTCGAAAACCTTTTAAGATGACATATCACATTTCTAGGACATAATATAAATTTTATAATTAAAATCGTTTAATTTCTCAGTCTTTATTTGAACTTATTTTGCACTTGATGATTTAAAAATTATACAATGTCCAACACTAATACCAAAATTAGAACAAAATTATAAATATATGTGATGATCTTGTTTTTGGCACACGAATCATGCACAAAAAACATTTTTATTTTTTACTTTTTAGTCAAAATGTTCCTTAAGATTGGTATAAATTCCTCACTTTAATTTCTAAGATTTCAAATCAATAGAAGTGGTCCATGAATTTGCCCACTATCAATCATTTTAATTCTTTCCGTGAAAAGTCTTCATTAAGTAAGGATAAAATAACAAAAATACCCTCAATTTTTGTCAAATCATTTGGTTCATTGTTTATTAAATAAGGGGTATTTTTGTCAGTTGATCTTTATTTAATAGAAATTTTCACGAAAATGACCAAAATGATTATACGAGACAAACTCAAAGACTACTTTAATTGATTTCAAATCTCAGAAATCAAAGTGAAGAGTTATGTCAATCTTGATGATCATTTTGGCTAAAATGCTTTTAGTTTTTGGGAGCTTTAATGAAAAGGGCTTGGGTCAATAAATATTTAATAAAAAAACCATCCTAAAATGTTATTTAACCAAAATGGCCCAAAGTTTAATAAAAAATCATCCAAAACTATTGTCTACCCTTTTTGTGCCCTCATTGTCCTCATCCTCATCCTCATCCTCATATTTGCACCACGAACAATTTATAGTGTTAGTATTTTATTCCAATCATATCGAATAAGGACCTACGGTCCCGGTGATGTATGTACATGTCAGGCGTTTGTAAATAGGAAAAAAACCAAAACATAAAACCGTTTCTAGAGAACCCAAAACATAACACTGTTTCTGGAAAAAAAAATCAAATACAATGTTTGTTTTTTCTGTGCACAAACAAACACTGTATCTGGAAAGAAAAGAACCAAAATTCAGAAACAGTGACTTGAATTCCAAAAACAGTCTATGTTTTAACCTTTGATTGTTTCTTTTCTTCCATGCATCAGTTGATTATATTTAAGAAACATGATGCTTATTTTGCTTTGAATCTAAATACAATGAATTTCACTATTTCTTTTTTAACTTACATTTAAGAAACAGTGTGTCTATTTCATTTGGATCCAGAAACAATAACTTAGATTCCAGAAACAGTGTTACTTAAAATCCAGAAATAGTGACCCGTCGTTATTATTGAATAACATGCAGACCTCAAATTTATTGTTTGGAGAAACAAACGATGAACTCCACTAACGAAGAAAAATTGAAAATAATACCTCAAATACTTAATGAATAATAACGACGATCACATTTCAACGAAATAATACAAAATATAAATTAAATAGCATGATGTTCTATATTTTTGTTTCAAAGAAAAAGAAGAAGGTTTGCAAAACAACGATGAACTTCATTAACAATGAAAATCTGGAACTCAACCTAAAAAAGTTAGGGGTAAAATCGACAAATCATAATTTATTATAGTTAGGCCATTTTTAGTTGGACTACTTTAACATGGGCCTTGTACTAATCATTAAACAAAACTTATAACATGGTTTTTTTATTAAAACTAAAACTTTTTAAGTTATTTTCATTAGTTTTCTTTTATTTTTTTTGGTGAAAGAGGTGCACAAAAACTTGAATGCAATGAAAGAAAGAAAACTCGCATCCATGTGCGTGGAGTATCCACGATATTTGGAATTGGAACATTTGTTGACCATCTTCATGTTCTTGTTTGGTTGATCGGCTCAACGCATTCCAATAATTCCCACACAAGTAACATTATCTTACCCAAAAGAGGAAGGAACTACCCTGTATTATTGCCTCTCTTCCTTCATTTTACTTGGTTGAATTATTTAGCGTTGGGTGGTTGGATCTTTTTTTTTTAACAAACAATATTATTTACGCTGAGAGAACGGGAGTGAGTTTAGCCTCACAATGGACTATTAATAATGTGGTTTAAATTCGCTTTTGATGAGAATCGAACCTAAGACCTCTCACTTACAAGTGAAGAGGAATATCACTATATCGTAATACTAAGTGGCTGAGTTGTTGAATCTTTTGAATAAAAAAATATGAGGAAAATGATTTCTCTACCGAGACAAACCGATCACACTCAAGGACTATGCCACATCCACTACAAGCTCAAATACAACAGTTTTACCTTTTATATAGTGAGGAAACCACACATGAAATCTTAATAGGCTAAGCAATGCTTGCCCTATAGGTCCTAGGAGTCCTTTTGTCCCATGATATCCCCATTTCTGTCGCTGCGCTCTTCTCTAGCTTAATGAGGCAGGGGTAGACTTTTTGAAGTCAACTTTGATGTCTACTGCTTCAGTGGATCCATTTACCAAAGATCGTGCCTACCACTATAAAACTACTCAAGTGGTCTGCTCATGAAGGTATGCACCATCTTAGTAGAACAACAGAGGTATGCCTAGCATGGTTTGCAACCTAATGTCAGGTTACATATGAAGAGTATATCTCTTGTAAATAGCCAAGTAAACCAAAGAAATAGGTAATTACATTTTTACCAGTAAAAACTATCTCAGTTCAATTTCTCTTAACCCTTTTTACGACCTAGGCACTGGAAGCCCTTTGGCAACACCCTCCCACATTTTTTTTGAGTGTTCGTCAATTTGCGATTTTTGAAAAGAATTCATGTTTAGTAGTATAATTTTTTGTAATATAATATGAAAATAGAGACGGCGGTGGCAGTTATTGGATGGTTGTGATTGATATGAGCTTGAAATACCTACAAAATAATTAAACCAAAGACAATTTAAATACTCACAAGTGCACAAGATAAATAGTACCACAACAAGAGCAAATACGAGGTCAATCTCATAAAATTTGATTTAACACCAATTTAACCGATTAATCAAGCTAGACTTATAAAAATAATAGATTGATTTTAATGGCAGAGAGAGTCCATGGAGAGTCTCATTTTTAAGAGAGTTTCCTTAACATTTCTCTTATACTCTATTGGTTAAGCATGTGATTAAACACTTTTAGAGACTCATTAAGCATAAAAGAATCATGTCAACCAAGTATGACTAGCTTGATTGATCATCCTCACTACTTTATCTACTCTTCCTAATGATAGCCGGCCACAAGTATTGATGACCAACGAAACTAGAATTTAGTATACACACGAAGATGAAGAATTTAACATGACAAAATAAATCAATCTCTACAATTTTACATC